GTCAAAATCGAAGAGCACGCCCCCAAGTGTTGAAGATACGCGAGGGAACACCACATGTAGCGGACCCACCAGGTGTGGTGCTCCGCTAGTGACAGAGATGGAGATGGAGGAAGAAGGGGGAGCAAGATGACACAACGCAGCTCCCCACGCAAGACTCCAACGCWYGTACTCCAAAATGTGCAAGTGAGGAATGAGACTGAAAACAGACAATGGCTGGGGTATACCCCAGCGGACTGACGGGACTGGACTGGACTGGCTGGTACCGACAGAGGTACCGGCCTGGACTGGCCTACCCTGAATGTAACACAGGCCTGTGAGAACAGGCCAAGGGGCTGGTCTCTTGGCCTGTTCTCACAGGCCAACCCGAGGTCCGCTACACTCACCAAGTGTGGCACTGCATTCCGCTACTCACCGAATGTGGCACTGCGTTCCACTACTCACGGTACGTTGAGTGTGAGGCGGTGGCAGTGGTGGGAGTATCTTAGGTTGTGGTTTCATGAACCTGGTTTGGTGTTCGACTCGACACTGTCGGGTGCTCTGTGAACCTCCCCTTCTGACGTCAGGGATGCCAGACCCGATTTCCGGCCAGAATAGTGCGACGGCCACCGTGGTACCGAAGTCACGGCGAAGTGCCTTTGGGGATATTCACACGGGGACCTGATGACCTTAAACCTCAAAATTTGAGACAGTTTTCCGGTCACAGTGGAGACTTCGGCGAAGTACCTTTGGGGATACTCACACGGGGACCTGATGACCTTAAATCTCAAAATTTGAGGCAGTTTTCCGGTCACAGTGGAGAGGCCCGCTACCCAAATGTACTTTTTGGTGACCCTTTTGTCAGCAGCCTGCGGGGCCGTGGGTGGACCCTATTTGAGACCACCTCCTGAGGTGATCTCAAATTACCTTCTCTATTTTTTCTCTGTGAGGTATTTCAAGAAATTTGTGGATGAGGAAAACAGCTGTGGGTGTTCGTTCAGCATTGAAAGAGAAAGAAAGGGGAAACTACGCAGAAGTCACAAATTTAAAATGAGTTTTAATTGCACTATGGGCCAAGAATCTGATACAGTTTCGAACTACAGTTTGGGCTATGTATACAACCCAGCTTTCTGGCCAGGTAGGGTGCCCAAAGTGCAATTGCAAACTGTATTTTGCCCCCATAGTGCAATTATAACTCGTTTTTGTGACTCTACTGGGGTAAGCAGTGTGACTACGTGCACTTCCTGCGAGGTGCAAATGTCAGGGTAGCCACTGCATCCTTAATGGACACAGAACGTGCCTGTGACCACATGGGCACCCAAACGAGCAAATACATTGTACCACACTTCGCAGATATTTGCTAGTTTAGCCCTTTATCATACCAGTAAGGTTGCCTTTTCAGGGAGAGGGAGGGGGGAGGGGAGGAGGTGCAAAATGGGAATGAATCATCCCTTAGAACATGGGAATGTGCACCGCCATATTTTGTCTTTAGTGCATGTGGAGAGTGGTGGATAGCGGCCCTACTTACATGAAGCTTGTGTGAGGGCATTCTCAGAGTTACAGTAGCACTTTCCTACATGTATATTATATCTTTTCGGACCAGGGCACTGAGGCCAGGATACACCTGACCACAATTATGTCCATGGAGAAGTCAAGAACGTCATAGAGTATGCCCTGACTTTGAACCTATGGCTGACCTGGCATTGCCAGACTTGTTTTCTCTCCTGGCCGTTCCTTTGTCTTCTCTCACCTTTTTTGTCTCTGTCCTCCTTTCTTTTTTTTTTTTTTCTGGAATCTGTCCTCCTTTCAAGCTAAGCCTTCCTTTCTTTTTTTTTTTCTTTTTTTTTTTTCTTTTTTTTTTTTGGATAAGCTAAGCCTTCTTTGCCCCGTCAGCTTTGATAAATCTGAGAGCAAAATCAAATCGGATTTAGAGTATGACTTCGCGCCGCCTCCTGCACGTTGACCCGGCACTAGCACGACGACTTTGCGCCTCCTGCCGATACGCACACCAGGACTTCTTTTTTTTTTAACTGGGCTCTGGACTGTATTGCAGTCTGATGCATCCAAGTCTGGGTGTAATTGCAGGCAGATAGATTAAAAAAAGTGGGGGTGTGAGTATGGGCTTAGTTCAGGTGGGGGGGGATGAGAAGTCTTAGTGCATAGTCACAGTAGGTACGACTTAATTGCTTATTTATGGACATAATGGCCTCACTGCACTACTCACCAGATGCACAAAAGACAAATCGGATGCACAAAAGACAAAGAGGGGGGAATGGGAAGTCTTAGCGCATAGTCACAGCAGGTACGACTTAATAAATAATTAGGGGTAACTTCAGTAGAGTCACAAAAACGAGTTATAATTGCACTATGGAGCAAGATACAGTTTGCAATTGCACTTTGGGCACCCCACCTGGCCAGAAAGGTGGGTTGTATACATTGCTCGAAATGTAATTCGAAACTGTATGCAGGGGGTATATTCAAAAAAAAAAACAAAAAAAAAACACCCTCATTTTTGTGACTTCCGTCACGTTCCGTGTAGTTTCCCCTTGTGTAGTTTCCCCTTATTTAGGGTTTTTGGACATATGGCCTCGCTGCACTACTCACCAGATGCAGAAAAGGGGAAAATCATGGTGCTGTATCTTTGCATGTTCTATGCAATTTGAAAGATTCATTCTCAGTTTGCACATTTTGGAGGCCATAGTTGCAGAACTTGCAGTCATTCCCCTAGGTGATGCTGCAATTTGAAATAGACACGTGCTCCCTCGCTGGCGATGGCTTTGATTTTTCTTTGTTTACCTTGCCGCTGTCTCAAAGAGAGGTGTGTCCGTCTCAGAGAGAGAGTGTGTCTGTCTCAGAGAGAGAGTGTGAGGAAACGAGCAAGAGGGCATTCTCTATTCAATCTCTCTCCATCTAGCAGTAAATCAACATACGTCTTTATTTGGCAGGGTTTTGATAATTAACAACGTAGTGTTGGCTTCAATTTGGTATAAATCTGTGTTGTGGTCATTAAACACAACAACTACTATGGAATTACAAAGACAACTCGTTGCTTTTCTTTGGCGTGGTGATCATGAGACACCTCAGGTGATACCAAAGAAGGCTTGGAGGATTGTAATCCAACGGTTACCCAGAGTCAAAGGGGGCCTTGGGATCCTTGACCCAAGAATTCAGTGTCAGGCTTTGGCTCTGCAAGTGTTAAAGCGCCTGATATTGGCTACAGATCTTCCTTGGCAAAGTCTGGCTCTTGAGCAAATTCACAGACTGGCTCCCCAAACCACAAGAGAGGTACACCCTCTTACTCGGGTGGAAGATCGATATTGGACTATTCCCCGATCCCATGCTCATTCGGCAGAACCTGGGGTGAGAGGTGCAGCTAGCTGAGCAAGGAGAGATTTAGTGTTGGACAATGTTTGGTCAACACTATTGAAATTCTGGCGAGAGCTGCCATTACCCCATAGGTCCCCGCCTTCTAGGTATGAGGAAGTGCTACGTCAACCCATTTTTTGTAACCGATGGATTACAGACTCAAATAGTAAAGTGTTTACAAGCCCGGTCTCTCCATGGTGTACATGCATAAAAAATGGAGTAGTCAGAGTTAAAGATTTGTGAGATCCAGTGAGGAGGGAAGGGTGGATGGAGATGGCGAGTATGGGTGAGCTGCAGACAGGAGCTGCCGAGTGGTTCAGCACTGTCCAAGCGAGTGGCACACGGCTAAGCCAGATGGTGGCGATGCTGCGAACGACTGTGATCGAGAGGAGTGAGCCGTCGATGTCGTGGATTCGGAGTGTCCAGCAATGTATGCTGGAGATTTTATGGGGGTTGGAGGAGGGGACGTCCCCCCATCTAGAAGCGTTTATAGATCGGCCACGATTGCATGCTTTGATGCGGAGCTGCCACGAGGAGCTTGAGGAGGGGCAAGGTCTTTGCAGCGCGTTGGAGGAGCGATTTTTCGAGGACGAGGACGATATCGTGGATGGTCATCATGACAACAACGCCATCACGGATGACCCCACCAAGAGTGCCAGACTGAGTGATGACAACGATAATCATCTTATCTGCATCGCGAAAATCTGCAACAACAATAATAACAACAACAACTACAAATTGACGGTGTCTGTGGGGCAGGCCGCAAACATCAACAATAACAACTACACTGTGCGCAACGATGGAATGGGACGAGGGATCCTGAGATTGTGCACGCTTAGGAGAGTTAACGATTACAACAACAACAATGACAACGATAATACAGCTGGTGGCAACAAAAATGACAACAACAAAGGTGGCGGAGTCGACACTGGCAGAGTGGTAATTGGATTGCGCAGTTTCTTTTCCCTCTCCCCTGCCCTCCCCTCTTGTTTTCCTTCCTGTGTTCTTGCTGATTGCTCGGGGGCAGGGGCGAGAGGGTTGGATGACTGGAATGCTGTGTAAATAGGAAGATTGTGTGGGGGCGCAGGGAGAGGGATGTAGGCGCGTAGGGGTGAGATAGTGAGGGCTGGATAACTGGGTCGCATGGTGCTGTGAGGATCGTCCTTGGGGCTGTTGTGCGAATGATTGGTGCCCCTCCATGTGGGGATTGCCATCTCAATTTCTTCATTTCTTCCTGCTGGAGCATGCCTCTTAATAGGTTGTCCGGGGGGAACATAATTTTTGCTATAAACATAAAACTTTTGCCACATGGCAGCGCAAGAGGTGCAGTGGTGTTATGCATAAGGGCAGCCTAATATGTGTTTTGCTAGTGTTCTGCTACGTGGGTGTTTTTTTTTCCCACGACTTCTGGCAATGGTGCCTCCCACTTTGAGTGCTTTTGTAGATCATCAGGATTGTGGGGGGCGTATTGGAGCGGGTAACTTTACATAAGGAAGTTTAATGCTGGAATTGCACCTGGTTCAAGGACTCGCTTCAATTAACTTTTTATCACCCTATTCTGATTGCCTCTTCCCCTCATGGTGCTGCAAGAGTTTTCTTGAAAATTATGATGAGGGTTTCTGAGTAGGGATACGACTTTAGAATGTGATGGGCAGTTAATCCCCTCAGTTGAGGACAATCAATGCTGCTCATTAGGCTGAAGTGTCGGTTCATTACCACTCAGGCTTATAGTACGAGTGACACATGGCATGTTTATATGATCTATGGTTGTTTACAGGGATGCTGGACCCGCTTTCCAGCAGGTGTTGCTCCCCACCAATAGATGGAGCCTTCCCGAGCATGCTAGTGGTGTCTGCTCTTATCAGCACCCCTAGCATTTACTCGGGTTGTTTCAAAAAAAAAAAAAAAAAAAAAAAGTTAGAAAGTTGTGGATGACCTAAGGAGAAAGATTAATATGCACACAATTTATCCAGCAATCTTGATGAAGTTATACCTGCTATCCCCCTGGCCTGGATAGTTGTACTAAAAAAAGGACCAGTTTTCTTGGTTTTGGATTGTGTATGTAGGAACCAACCAGATGGCACCCAGATAGTAGGTACTCACATAGATGGCGCTTAGGAGGTTGGCACCATGACAACAGGATTTCCAGTATAATAAGGATAAAGTAGAATTCTTCCCCTGTGATACACTATATAGAGTCAGAACATTATACTGCTCAGCCACCAAAGGTTGGGCAATTTCCCTTTCACATTATCCTATTTCGGAACTTCCCTTGGACCCAGCTGATTCGATATGGCGTACTAATAGGAGGTCTAAACCTCAAAGATTACAATCCATGACAGTTAAGGCGTCATACAGACTATTGAGGCCCAAAATAAATGTCCAAGATATTGTGCAAGATCGTTGGGTAGGTACGGCATCTCAACATCTATAAGGACTCACTCAAATCAGTTAAGTGGTGTGAGAGACTCAAGGGAAGACCTGAAAAGTTTGCATCCTTGCAATGGCAGATAAATCATAGATGTTTACCAACTAATGATTGGTTGATTAACTGCTCTACACTGGAACAAAGAGGCTTGGCTCTACCATGGTGTCATTCATGTGTTCACGCCTTTCCCGGTAGGAAAATTAGGGAAGCAATTGAATACGTTGTTTTACAATGTCCAGGAGCAATCTTATTATGGCGTTGATGGGATTATGTATGACAAGGATTGAAAAGTTGGAACGACCCTGGGACTAGAGGGCTATCCTCTTGGGTCACTGGAATCAACCCCTGGTCTCATTATCTACTTTTCAATATAACTTCTTTAAAATAGAAAGGAAGGCGGTTTTGGGCTACGAATCCCCCCCGGGGGCGGCCAAGCGCGGCGAAGTCTGCGGCCGCGGCCAGGTCCGCGACCCCGCGGACGCGTCCGCGCGGCCGCGCGACTTCGTGGATTCATGGCAGCCGCTAGGGAGGGACACAAAACATTTGATTGGTGGCATGGGGCGACGCATCCCCAGGCCCACCCCCTCAAGCAAAAAAAAAACAAAAAACAAACAATATTTGGGTTTGGGGGGGGGGGGG